CTCCTCAAGAGGATGAAAATAGCTCAAGCTGAGGGGAAAGAATGGAAGACAGAAGTGCGCAAGTACTTGGTAGCATATAGGTCAACCCCTCACACTACCACAGGCGTGAGCCCAGCGGAACTCTTGTTTGGCAGAAAGATGCGTACTAAATTACCCGAACTGAAAGAGGAGAGCACAGAGAGCGAGATGCGAGACAGAGATGGCAAAATGAAAGCCAAAACCAAATGGTATGCAGACAAGAAGAGGAATGCCCACGAGTCTTACCTAGCTCCAGGTGACCAAGTGTTAGTCAAACAAGAGCGTAAAAATAAATTATCAACATCATTTGCTCCTGAGCCTTACGATGTTATCACCAAGACTGGAAACAGTGTTGTTATTGAATCACCAGACGGCATTCAACTAATGCGAAACACAACCCATGTAAAGAAGTATGAGGAGACATCACAGAACCCGGGGGAAACAACTTCAACGCTTGATGTTACTGATCCTGTGGAACCGGAAGCAGAACGAGAAAAACTGAGCAGCCCGGTTGTGACGAGACCGATCAGAGTCAGAAAACCGCCGGAAAGATTTAAAGACTATGTTATGACTTGAGTGTCATTATCGAGGACTATGTTTTGACTTGAGTGCCATTATCAGAAACTTTGTCGTGAGTTAATGTCATCATTGACTGTTACTGTTCATAAGGGGAGGATGAATGATTTTGTGGCTAGCCGTTTTATGAGTTTCAATTGTACTAGGCTTTAAGCGACTCTCCGTTGTGTTGACATCTTAGGATCGTTGTGGCTTTAAATAAAAAAAGGAAGGGATGTAGTGTTTGTAAGGTACACTTCGTGTGCCATACATAACGTAGGTAAGCAGGTAATGTAAGAGAGGATTGAATCATTAAAGCAGCATGGCAGATGTATAGATTAGATTCGTGTGTATCCATTTCCATCGACTTTAGAACGTGACATTACCCATTGGATTCCTACTTGATATTTATCCATTAGATTCCAAATATGTTTCTTAAGAGGGAATTCTGTTGAAATTCGTAATTTAAGAAAAGATATAGCGTATTCAACCTCACCCCTATCCCCTAGGCCTATCCCCGACTACTGGACAACACCCGACCCCCCCAAACCCCCCACCCCCTCCCTCACATCACATTCATCCCACCTCAGGCATGGTGGATCATATGATACTGACACAAATGAAACTGAAATATCAATGCCTATTGTGCCAAGTTTAATTTCTGTAAGTGTAAAAAGAAATCAATACCAAAGTTGCTGAACCACTCCCCCCTCCCCCCGTCCCATCCGGGCGGTGTGGAGAGAGGGAAGAACTTCATTTTAATGAGGACACTGGTTATTAATTTTGATTCAAACTTTCAAAGAAGACCAATCATAGTTCTAGTGTTTTGGGTTGGTATAGTTGGTTGTTCAGGTATATAAGAGGTTAACGCTAATTTCCCATTTTTGATATATCACAATTCTAGCATGGCTCTGAGGCTTGGGGGAATAAAAGAAGAGAACTTAATTACTCATCTCTCAACCTCTATGTGATTTCTTTTGTTTTATTCCCTTAAGCCTCAGAGCCAAGTTTGAATTTTAATATATCACAAATGGGCTATTGCATGAAATGTTTGGAAATTTACAGGAATGGCTCATAGGGACATCTTGTGTGCAGACAGAAGAGAAAGAAAGAATAATGAATTTTGTCTTCAAGAAAGATGCTAAATCCGCTCTGGTAAGAAGCAACATTTTATTCCATCCTACTGGTAAATCATTTTAATTGTGGGAGATGCTTTGAGCTGATCTTTATTGCAATTCATTCCACACAAAAATACCTGGCTTCAAACCTGGAAAAAGTCATTGTGATGTTTTTAAACGGCCTCCTGGTTAGTTAACCACCTCCTGGTTAGCTCAATTGGTAGAGCGCCGGACTGTTGTGCAGGAAGGTGAGGGTTCAAGCCCAGGCCAGACTAACACTCAGGGTCATAAAATAACTGAGGAGAATGTGCTACCTTTCTATAATATCAAGAAATGGATAGATTTCTAGTCTTCTTGGATAAGGACGAATAAACCTTAGGTCCCATCTCCTGCAGTGTCAGTGGTAGGAGACGTTAATTTCCCACGCACGAGATTACTGTGGGGTGGACGTCCTCCGATGGGATGGGGTTGGGTCTCCATGGTGTTAAAACCTAGTAGGGGACTTAGAGTCCTATTGTTTCTACACCTACCTTATGGTAAATCTCTAAATAAAAAATAAAAGAAATTTTCTTTGGCAAGGCAATTCCCTTTTAATAGTACATCTCTCCCAACTAGACACGGAGCTTAAAGTCTTGCACAGGCAGAAATGTAAGTCAATTGGTTTAATGTATTAAAACGAAATAGGAAAAATTGTTTTTGTGGTACATTAAGCGTATTACTGTTTTTGTGGTAGATTGGAAGACTGTTAATGAGAAAAGTGATCAGTGACTTCACAAAGATTCGATATAATGAAGTGATATTGAAAAGAACCGACAAGGGAAAGCCTTTCCTGGTAAGTTCATTTTAAAACCAAGATTCCTCCCCATAGATTCAAACCATTTCATTGTCAAATGAAAATTATGTTTTTGTTTGTCTTTCATAGGCTAATGATGCTACTGAACTATCACTGAGAAGGTTCAACTTCAACATATCACATCAGGTTGTGCATCTATAAAATATTGTGTTGTGATTTTTTGTTTTTGTTTTTGAATTGCTAACACTGATTGATTGGCTGATTGGTCGGCAGTATTCAGAGCAGTATTTACAGTTCACTAAGACATGAATCTGGAGAAGTGCCCTTAACCGGTTTTACTCCATAATCCCCAGTGACAAGTAATGTTTCCACTGAGTAATTGTCAATGGTACAAGTTACAAGAGGAATAAAATCTTGAGACTGATTGACTTCTCATCTGTGTTCTTGCCAAAATTGACTTGCCCACCTGTTTGAGGATTGTCCCCAAAGAAAGAGCTACTTGAAATATAAGTATGAAGCTTAACATTAATATTCGAAGGTCAGCAGTTCTGTATGGGCACTTTATCTCCTTTTATTTGATCTTGTTTCAATTTGTTGCAGGGAGACTTCACTGTGTTAGCTGCAGAGCCTGAATTGCAAGGTATGCTTCGTTTCTTATGATTACTTGAACTTGTAAGTCCAGAGAGAAACTGGCTTTTAATTTCTCTTAATAGTAGAACCCTTGAATCAAATGTGAAGGGCACAAGAACAAAGGAAATGATCACAAATTGCATAATATATATTTTTTCACTTTTCAGCCCTTATAATTGAAAATTAGCTTTCAGTTATAGCTTCAAGTCACAACCTCATTATCCTTCATATGTCTTCATGATTATAAAATGTCTTCATGATTATGCTGGTTTTTGACTATCAAGTACTATCCAGTGCCTAAATTTCTTTTCTCCTTTAGTTGGTGTTGATGTCATGAAAACAACATACCCAAGTAAGTTAAAAAAAATTTTTAACCCTTATTTATAATTTTTCTGAAACAAAATTTAATACAACTTTTAAAATGATCTATCTTTAAGTTTCATCTACTGTGCCTGGATTTTTTCACACCATGCGTAAGCAGTTTACTGGAAATGAATGGGAAGCCATCAAATCTCAGCCTTCTGAATGGAATCAACTACAGATGTTTTACAGACACTGGGTATGTTTCAGTTAGCCTATAAGCAGGCACTCATTATTCGGTGCAAGAAGCGCCTTTCATCGCTCGCGGGAAGATTGGAGACGAGTTGGGGAGAGTCTGTGACTAATAAGAATCAATGGCAGACTTCTAGCTGACCTCTCGCGGGCTCACGTTGCGCGTGGCCCCACACTTTCCCGTTGGTGAAGAATCGCTTGTTTCAAAACGCTAAAAGGACGCCGTGGGAAATTAAAGTCATTTCATTTTAACGCATGTAGCTAACAAAGATCTTTTCAAACTTTTTCGAAAATGCAAATCATGTAAATGTACTCTAACTTTTGAATGTTAATTAAAGTCAGACAGTAGAAGATGTTTGTCTAATAATGTGAGAGGAATTCTCAATTATTTTAATTTTCCAAGCCCGGAAATATTAAAATCGACATTGTTTCAAATTTACTTCGAACATGTTTTAATACTCGCGTTGTGCTTCAACTGAGACATAAAGTAAGGCGTAGTTGAAAAAAAAACACTTTTAAGGTATTTTTCATTGAAGGCGAAAAGGGATATTTAAATCAAGTATCAAGTTCCTCTTTCTTTTACAAATCATGAGGGCAGTGTTTTTCAGCAGTTTTATCCAAGAGTGTTGATTGGTCAAATGTTTTGTTTCTTTTTCAGTGTCTAAAGGAAAGCTACGTAAAAGCTACTGGGACTGGCATAGGACGTGATTTACAGTCTGTTGAGTTCCAGATAAATACCAAAGAGCTGTCTCCCCAGGTTGGTTCTCCTCCTTGTTTAATTGATAGAAAGGTTTGGCCTACTGAGCTTCATTCAAGTCAAAATAATTATGCAATGAGTTAGAGCGCTTTTCAATTGAAGTCGTTAAACCAAAACCAAATAAATCACAACGGCCTTTCAACAGAAAATAAAAGAGCCGAGAACTCCTAGTAAAAACAACCAAACTGACTAAAAGCGCGGGAAAACAACCAAACTGCCTAAAGCGCGGGAAAACAACCAAAAAGCCTAAAGCGCGGGAAAACAACCAAACTGGCGAAAGCGCGGGAAAACAACCAAACTGGCTAAAGCGGGGGAAAACGCGGAAGAACGCGGGTGACCAAGACGTGATTGGCTGGAAAAGTTACAGGACAATAGTTAACAACTATTCACCGAAGTGGAGGTGGTTAGGTGGTGGATATTTACCGAGCCGCGAAGCGGCTCGGTAAATATCCACCACCTAACCACCGACACTGAGGTGAATAGTTGTTTTAGTATATACTAAAACAGTGAGATAATATACTGCTTCGTCGTTAATTTTGAGCGATTTCTCCGCTTGCCACGGATGCCAACCGGGACGCCATTCTTTCCCGAGTTGCTCGGAGGTAAATAACAAAAGATATTCGGAGTTTGACTAGCCAATCAGAGCGCGCCTTCAACGCTATTCACTGTTTTAGTATATACTAATTACTGTTAAGTCAATGTACGTCTGTTAAGTCTCGTTTCTGATACCAGTAAAGCAGAGAGAAAAAAAAAAAAACAGATATTAAGAACTCAACCGAAGAATGTGCTGTTTCATTTTTAGAACGTGACATCTGATACAAAATTTTTTCTCGAAGAGGACGAGATGGACGAATGGCTGTTTGAAGAAACCAAACTCGACGACTTGGTATTGTTATAAAAAAATTATTAATTTTCATTACCTCTAGTATTGTGTTTCATCTTAATTTTATGACTGTTTCTTTTTCATTTAGCACCAAGTGGCAGTCGCTTTAGGTCCTTCACATGTAAAAACAAAGGAAACAAGGTACGAATCGAACAACTGGACACGTGTCCGCGTGTACTGAGGCGCCCGTAATGGTACAATATAGGCACGACCCTCATGGGATTTTCACACCTATTTCAAATGTAAAATTTCAGGTACTATTTCAAGAACAAGTGCGAGGGTTTCATCAGGCTTTCTAAACATGAGAACACTGATGAAAGCACGAGGCCGTAGGCCGAGTATTTTTATTGTTTTTGACTGTTTGGAAACCCTGATGAAACCCGTTGCACAAGTTTTTGAAATAGCTACTCGATCGCGCCTCACGAATAAAAGAAAATAGAAACATTCACGAATTTTTCACATGTCGACAAGTTTGTTGTTGCTATCAAAATCAAGAAAGGAGTCTATTAGAGTTTGATACTCAAGGATTTGATATTATATGAAACGCCATTCCAGTGCTTCACCGGGCTTTCAAACCGCATGTGCGTGACGAAATTGGCGTGTCTTGGTTAGATGATCACCTTAAAAAAAATTAATGAATTTGAGAAGAGCAAAATGCATATCGGTTTTTGAACTAGAAGATTTGTCTAAGGAAAACTTGTCATCAACAATTGTAAAATTTAAGGAGTAGTCTCGCGAAAAGGCTGCGAAAAATGAAACAAAGATTTACCTTAAACGTTCGCATTGAAGTCCTTTATAGATGTTGTGGAAATAATTCAATGTCTTTCTAAAGGAAATTCAAAGTTTTTTTTTTTTTTTTTAGCAGGATGGGTCGTTCCTCGTTCACGATACTGCAGTTTGCTGATCTCGTGTCCTCAGCTATTCCTTTGTTTTCAGAAGATGAGTCAGATTGGATCAAGTTTCAGGCAAAGAAAGAAAAGTCTTAGCATTGGACTGACTAAAAAAAATTGATTGTGAACAGTAATAGTATAAATGCATTCCTGTACCGCTGAAATCGATTGAATCTTCATAGCACTTTGCAAGACTATCTATAGCAAATGTAAGTTGAGAGAATTTAAAACAATGAATTGTCAATACATTTATAGAGATATGTGTATTTATAGGAGACCAAAAAATGTTTTTTTGCAATGGACAAAGACTGGTATACTTCTTTAGATTTACCTATGACTGGCATAGGACTAAAAATCCAATATAAGTTGTCTAAATGGATCTAAACCTTAACATTATCATGAAGTAGCTGAGTTAGGGGCTGGTGTAACCATGCTTTGTGCGCGATGGACTGAAGTATACAGGCTACTTATTCAACTTTCCGTGGAGACTGCCATAGAGGGGAATGGGAGCCGAAAGTTCAAAGCTAGGGGTTCTACGAGCTTACATAGTGCATGTTACCTTTCGTCTCCTGATCTCCTTCAGTATCAAATTCTTCAGGAGGCCCCAAACGCCTAGGTACTCAAACAGGTGGATGCGTTTGGAAACTTATTAGTGAGCTCTTCTTGGACACCTTCCATTTGGCCACAATAGTGTAATAAACTCGAAATCATCAAAAATACGAAAGAAAAAACGAGCTACCAGCTAAAGGGACCTTTCAGGGTGCACTAACTCGCATTTTCATAAACAGGATCATTGGTTAATACAATTCAAGAGTTTACATTAGGTTAGCCATCATGGTTTATGAGCCATAATACCATGTGCGCGCATGAAGAAGAGTTACACCGGAAGTGTATTTGTACATTGTAACATCCTGATAGAAGATGATTACAGCCAACTCGGCTCTTCGGGCCTCCTTGGCCATCTATCATTTCATATCCAACGCGCTTGTGGAATAATTGTTAATTCTTAAGATTAACAAAATGTCTTACATGAAAAGAATCCTCCACTTAAGGAAAATTTCAAAATAAATTGACCGCCACTTAAGGAGGAACATTAAAATATTAAAGCGCCCTAGGGAGAGGGGGCAGGTAAATTTCATTGCAACACAACCGAAATCCCCCGACAGCCCACTTCTCAGGTGGTAAATAATCAAGGTTGGGGATGAGAGGAGAGGGCGGAAAAAGGAAAGTTGAAGCTTGCCTAGGACCATTGGCTTCACATAGTCGAAAATAATCGGGACTGCGACTGTCGTAGATACTCAATCTGAGAGAGAATTGCGCAGCAGACGATTGGCAAGCGTTCTTGACGCGCGTGTGCCTGTGTGTTTGGGAGCAGCACGTGCGAGCAAGAAATCGTTCCGCGCACTATTTTGTAGAAAGTTCTTGTCTCTATGCGCCCGTGTACTCGACGTCAACTAACCTATGTAGTAGAAGAGAAAGTTGTATTGTTGTACGTGCAAGAAAATCAAGATCAGGCTTCGAACGGATGTTGATTTCGGATTATGGAGATGCAGTCACTTTGTGCGTATTATGTAACCAACATACCATGGAAACAGATAAGTGGTAATTACAATGTGGTGACATAAGTACAGTTTTATATCGTCAACTTTTTATCAGATTAACTCAAGTGGAGGCGTTTGGCGTGGGTATCATGATGAAAGCGCGGACGTTATGTGTTTCAAGGATGTTCCTGATGTTTTCTTGTCTCGTTCACATACGTTTTCAAAAATGCTCCAGTTACCTGCCTGAGGCCTTTACGTTTGGTCATCAGCCGATGGAAAGTGTGATACGTCTAAACCAGAGATGGTAAAGGAAGTAGCCAAAAGAATTGAACGCTGAATAGAAAATCAACACGAGGATGTATTTTAATAAGTCTTCTGTTGATGGACACATAATAAATCGTAACTTTGCTGAGACAATACACCCAACTGACAATTTTGATTTTCATGACAAATTGTTTCCGTCGGCATGTATGTTCTGGGTCAGGTGCGTTTAAGGAGGGTACCAAATGGAGGCTAATTTTAGAAATTAACAAGTCGTAGAAAAATTCACGCGTCACGTTTACTTTGAACAGTATTTTATGCGTCGCAGATTCTAAAGAGAAAACTTCAAATCTCATCTTACATCACCTTTCCGTAAAATTTGCGCTTCTTGGCCTGAATCCCGCGTCACACATATGAGAAACCCTTGCCGCCCTTAAAATTATGTTATACAAGTCAAGGCACCTCATTCAGCTAAATTTCTTAGGCAAGGACGGAGACGTAAAGGCAAGGACGGAGACGTAATGTCTTTATGGTAACTTAGCAATTACTCCATTGTGTTTCACTTGTGTTAGTTCTCATTAACCGAGCGGGAGGTGTGTATGGGAGAATCTTGACCGAGGTCTCCAGTACAGACCTCACTGCGTTCGGTCTGTACCAACGACCGAGGTCAAGATTCTCCCATACAGACCGACCTAGCTCGGTTAATAAGATGTTTATTATATGGCTGTGTCTTATATGCCATTTTTTTATATTATTTGTACCCTTTTTTCTAGACCGGTCTAGATGCCGGTCTAGATGGGAAAATCTAGACGCTTTCAATATTGATTTCAGCCAATCAAATTCGTAAATTCGGTAGTTCCCAGTCCTTGTGAGACACAGCCTTACAATAAAAACACATACCAAATGTATAGGAATTTAAATGGTGTAAACGGTACTGTGGCTCTGCGAGATTCCATTTGGTGTTGTCATTGCTATCAACGTTGTCGTTGACTAATATTTTTATTATTGAAGTGGATATGAGAACGTGCGCAGGTGCCCCAACGGACGTCATGGACCATGCTGCTTATTTGACGGCGTGCGGTCCATATACGATTAGAGATTATTTGTATTGTGTTTACTCCATTAAAATGTTGGAATACGCTCGAAAAAACTAATTAGATACACAGATGATGTTTCAACGCCGCTTAAAATCGTGACCTGTAGTCTCCATATTACTTCTGCCAGGAAACTGTCAAGAGAAAGGGGATACCGGTAATTCATCGTAAAAGCCGAATCATAGGCCCAATTTTAGACCGTGCACTAAGTGTTACTGTTGGGAATGAAATGGGGCCGGCGATGAGGACGGAAAAAGCTTACAAACTTAGGCATAATTAGCAAGGAGAGCCGTGGATAGGACTACTGTTCTCACATTGTATTGTCGCGACTTAACTTAAGAGAGAAATTCGCGCAGCAGAGGCACGGCCACGCCCATGGGCAGTGGGCACGGCCGCGCCCATGGGCAGTGGGCGCGAGCAAGGAATCATTCTGTGCTCTTTTCGTTTTAAAGTTTTCGCTTCTATGCAGGCCTTTACAATCTGCCAGCTTAGTGGGCGCCTGCAGTGTCGAGCACTCAAACGTGACTAACTTTTGCAATGGCAGAGGGTTAGTACTGAAGTACGTGCGGAAATCCAATTGCATGATCAGCCTTTAAGCGGATGTTTATTTTGGATTATTGAAATGCTGTCACTTAGTGCGTATTATATAACCAACATAACATGAAAACAGAAAAAACGATTACTATTGTTAATTGCATGTAGTGGAGACGTGAAGGTGGTTTTTTGCCGTCAATCATCTTTCTATCAGATAAGGTCAATAACAGCGTTTTGCGTAGGTATCGTGATAAAAGCGTGGAGTTGTATGTTTTCTTATCAAGTCACTTTCACGTACGATTTCAAACTTTTGCCGCAGCTACCTGCTCTAAGCATTTCTAGGCGGTGGTAAGCGTCAAATATCGAAGTGAGAGCCGGTATAGGCAATCAGGAGCATCAAGAAAAAATGATGGGTCAACTGAGATTTCGGAAAAGAAAATCAAAGTAGAGATGAATTTTAATGACCAGTTCTGCAGTCAACCCGTATCTCTGCTCAGAGAAATCGTGGGAGCAATTAAGATTTCCGTCACAAATTGTTTCCGTTGGGATTTATGTGTGGGGTCATGTACTTGTAGAATTCCATGTACATACAAATCAAAATGCTTTATTCAGCTATAACTGACTTTAATTAATAAGAACGCATACAAGAACGGGAACGATAAACCCGTAAAAAGAGTGGAGAGAGAAAGCCGAACGTTTTGACGGAAAAAAGTGATTGTTGAGGTGATTTGGGAACTTGTGCACGTACCCCAATGACAGATTAGAAACGTGAAGTTTATCTGACCAATTACTTGCAAGCTCAATGGCATGCGTGATCTTACCCGCGATCGGTAGGGGTTTTCCCTCTTTGACGAGATCGTAGTAATGCCATTAAAAATGTTTAAATGCGCACGAAAAGATAAATACTCAGACAGATCTTGTTTGAGCGTGTTTAATTACGATAAGTAATCTGCATGCTACTTCCGCTAGGTGACTGCAATGTTCGTCAAAACAGACGCCTGAGAGCGGAAACCAGCAAATTCATGTAACATCATTGAAGCCGACCAACGTGCTAAAAAGTTCTTTTTAAAATATGAGGTGCTGGTCTTGAAGTAATGTTAATTAAGCCTGTTCGTGCAAAACCTGACTAAAAATGACCTCTCCGTCCATAAACACTTCACGATTAAGTACAAAACTTGCATTCGTAGTTCACAGACTTTTCAAATAAATAGTAATTAGATAAATGAACGTAAATGGCATGCAAGATTGATATGTTTCACAAGGCGAAGAATTTATTGTAGGATTGAGTCTGCAATGATTTTTAGCACTAATTGCCAAATAACCAAGCGTAGTAATTTTTTAAACTGAAGAGGGAACACGTGGAACGGGAAAGAGAAACTATCCAATTGCCCCTCTCACCATAAAACTAGTTTTATTAGTACTTCCGACCTCCGCAAATAACGGAAGAAATTTGGTTCACTCCACTCTCTGTATAGGTACCCGGAAGTACTTTAGGAGAATGGTACATCATATTCAGGTCATAAAATTTGATTGCTAAACGCTGGTCTAAATGGAGAAGGAGTTTTTGCGCAATTATTTGCTGTGTTTCTCTGCAACTCGCTCATCGGCCATCCTGCAACAACGGAGAAGGAAATCGACGAAACTTCATTTTGTAAATAAGCAGGAAATAAAAATTGCTTTTGCAACATTGGTCCTCTTTTGAGGAACTCAAGAGGCCTTTCAAGAGGAGTAGCCTTTTGCATTAGCAGTCATTTGAATGCGATGACATCCAACGCCCCGTTGCCAAGTCGAGAAAGGAAGTCCCATTTTCACATTACCAACCCACTGTTTGCGACAAAATCACACGACATCACAAATGAGAAACCATCAAAGGCTGCTCTTTACCTTAGCCACATTAACAGCTACTTCACGGTTCGTGCGTCTTTGAAAAAAAAACTTTCTCAAGATTCTTATGTCCGTCATTTGCAACCTGAGTTAATCCTCTTTATCTAAACCATGCTTTGTTCCTCTTCCCCATCTTCACAATTTATCATTTCCAAACTTCCGCCTGTCGCGAATGTAGTTTCAAAATTGTCGTAACCTGATATCGGGATGTAACTTCTTACTGAAGAACACTTAAAAAAATTCCCCTTCCCACCCACCCCCCTTCCATCTTCATTCAATATCTTGGGAGAGGGATTAAACGAAAATTGAAAAAAAAGTTTTGAAATGTGTTAAAGCGTCGCGTCGCCTCGTGTCAGTTTATCACACTCTTCATTATCAAGTGTCTTTAGAAAAAATAGAAATGACCTTGATTCTGTGGTAACAAACGTAACAAGAAATCGTCTCTTTTGCCTTAGAAAGTCCTTTCAAAGGGTGTGTGGAGTCGCTCATTCATATCTCACCTTCCGGAAGCTTAATTGCTGTGCAACCCCCTCCCCTCCCAGAAAGCTTTATACAATCATGAGTCACGAAGGTGTCACCCAAATCGTCGCGTGGGTGTCAGTTAGGCCTGTGTGTCAGTTGTGTGAATTTACTTTTGATTGACATGTGACTATGGAAAAAAACCTTCCGTTCGCTTGAATTCTTTACAGTATACAGACAAGGTCACCTTCAGAGAGCAGCTCTTTGCAAACCAGAATTGATATAAAATGAGTGGCACTGGTGGTAAATCGGTATGTTTCGGGGCTTTGGAAAGGTAAGAAAGTCATAAATGATTGTAAAATTAGAATACTTCTCGTACCATTTGGCTTGGGTTTCTTCACGGATTTTTTAGACCATTATGCATCGAGGAAGTTTCAGCCTGTTACGCGCAGTCAAGAGTGTACGATGATTCTTTAATTCTTTTAGAACCGAATCGTGAAATACTGCTTCGGATTGAAACAAATTGTCAATCGATGAGATGATCGCAGAGAACGATCGAATAAACACATAGACCAATAACCGGTATTTAGTTATTTGTATTGAAAACATAATTTTTTCAGTAATGAAGCACTTATCTATGTCATCTGTTTCATTATAGGGTTCGCTTTTTATTTTCTTGTGAAGGCACATGCTACCAATGAATTTGTACGTAAAATCAACATAATACTTCCTCAATGACATGTTGCACAAAGATGTTAAGCCGGGCATTCATCGATGAGGTTGAAGAGTCATTTTGATAATCGCGTCTTCCAATTTTCCAACTTAATTTTGTTCATTTGTACATTTATGGTCACGTCGCCATTTCCTGTTTCACTGCTTGAGCAAAATAAAGGAATGTTGGCATTTCTGTTCGGCGATGGGCTAATAATTGGTACTCAAGAGGGGACCAACTTTAGAGTCGAAATTAGGGAAAACATTTACCGAGACGACCTCGTTTTAGAACTACAGACAGATAAATTAGGGCATTGATTGGAGAAATTGTGATTATCACAACGTTTATGATGATTATCTACGCCCCAAGGCAACAGGAATTAGTTTGCTTTCAGTTTCTAATCTAAAACGCTAATTACAAATTGCGCGGTAATTTATAATTGGATAACACGAATTTTCCCGGAATATCGCAATCATCGTTAATGATAAGCCTTTGTAGCTATCGCAGGTGGCAGCGGTGACATTCGCTGATATTCAACATGTCCGGCATTTAGCAGGTGGTGTTAGATTCCCTTTTCTTGAGATAAACTTGCCGACTCAGATCTTTGTAAAACGTGTGAGAATATCACGGGATTTTCTCTCGGGTACCCACGGCTTCCGAAGTGCGTTTACGCATCACCCACGCAGCCAATTAGGTAGAAATTCTTTTATTTCATACCATAGATTTGAGCAACCATGCAGAGAACCGTGTGTACACTTAACATATCGAGCGTGATTGTCTAATCTCCTCACAGAGAACAAGAGATTGAATTGCAAGGTGCCATGGAGAGAGTAGACAGTTTCTACGCGGTGGCTTTGCTCGTTGCTGCAATGTGCGCTTTGTGGATCATCAAACGGCTCTACAAGGAAGAATTTTTGACTGATCTTCAGCAGAAGTACGTCTTGGTCACTGGTTGCGATTCAGGATTCGGAAGGGAAACTGCATTACGACTCGATAGCCTGGGATTCAATGTATTTGCGACGTGTCTAACGAGCGAGGGGCAAGAAAATTTAACCGCAGCGTGCAGTAAAAGGCTCACGGCCTTGCACTTGGACGTTACAGACTCGAAAGAAATCAAGGAGACATACAAGTTTGTGGCGCAGTATTTACCTGAAAATAGAGGTAAATTACCGAAGATTTATTTGTTCCCTTATGAATGTTTACTTTAAATTGTTGATATAGATTTTATGAATTATTACTCATATTGTGTTGTCATGTTCCAAGGTGATTACATGCGTGACGCAATGTTGTCTTAAAGGGTTTCTGTTGTCGTTTGTAATTGTTTAAATGGCATTAACTATACGTGGATAAACAATTCATATAGTAATAAGCTATTGGATAAATAGATCAGCCCGAGGTAGAATATTTGCTTTAAGTCTAATCCCTCGATAAAAATGGAAAATGTAGTTTACGCATGTTAGAATTCAAATGAAATTTTAAAAACGAGGAAATTGGAGATTAGGGCCTTTCCGCCGGACAAACCTGAAATGACAAATTTTTGTTTCGTCTGTTGCATCCGTCTTAAAAAATTTCAAAGCTTTCAAATTCCGTCAGTGCCTGATCTGCTCATAAGACCGGCCAGTATAGTTTCCCATAGGATTCCAACTTCAATTTCCAGAATTCATCCTTATTCCTTTTAAAGTTTTTAAATCGCCGAGTTTTGCAACAAAAGACAGTTATTGCCTTTTTAGTCAACTGATACACTGGTCGAACCTTTCATGACAAATTATCGACAATTTTATCACGGTTTTGTTTATTTAGTTGATTTTTGTCCATTTTTTACCCGGGATAAATTTTGTCGGCGGTGCGTTTGAAGATTTGTCCGCTTCGGCTACAATTTGTCAAGTCGTGACAAACAATACGCACTTGCAAAATGTCAGTGATGATTGAAAGTCTGTCTAAATAGCAACTTTTTTGCTGGTGTGGAAAGGCCCTAAACCAACACAGCAACACGTTCCCCCTTCACGAGGCAGGCATGGACGAGTTGCACACTTGACTTCCAATGAAACATTATAGTGTGATTTTGTCATGTAACTTCGCAACTCCAACGTGGGATGAGTGTTTAAAATCAACGAAGGTCGTTGGGCAAAGAGAGAAAAGCGGAAATGGCTTACAATTGAAGTAAAGTCCTCCACAATCATTTAAGTGAAGATATCTATTTGACTCCTGCCCTTGCACGAGATAGGAAGTTACGATAGAGCGGGGGTGAGCAAGTTATCGCAGAGTATCTTACGAGCATTAAACAAGACTGGACTTATAAGCGAACTATGATCATATTCCCGGCCCTTTGTTGGAGAAAATTAGTCCTTCAATCAACGGTCGAAAATAGCTTTTAAACACGGAATATCTGGTGTTTGTAATGACATCAAACGCGCCGTTAATGTTAAGAGTGAGGATATGTCACTATGTAAGGTATTTGTGGAAACAATGGATGAACTTACGCCCCCCTCTTGAACAGTCAAATTAACTAAAAATGCATATTCAGAGCTTATCTTAGTCCTTGAGTGAGAGAAAATGTCTTAAAGAGATCTTAATACGGTTTCCCCACTCAAATAAATTTAAGGTCATAGAAAGATAACCCCATAAATTCGGGTAAAAAATCTAGATTAAGATTAATTCCAAAGCCATTTAAAAGCCGCTTTCTGTTAGAAAACAAACTTGCTTTTTTTTTTAAGGTTCTTGTTTGATTTAACTCTGCTTTGAAAGCTATAAATAGGGTTCGTGGTTCTTTTTGCTATAACATCACATTCTTTAAGGTTTTTTCGGTCAGACCTCCCTTGTGCACGAATGCCGGTTTCTCCTTGAATGGATGAGAAAATTCCGGATATCATTTTATTATTACTTTGTTTCCGGCCATAAAATGCCTAAAATGGCTCTGAGATGACAAACTTTGAAGAGAAAAAAAATTCCTCTCGGAAAACACCTCTACCGTTTCAGCGAAATAATACGAAAAGGAATGTCAATCTTCACAACTTGACGCTTCGTACAGTAATTCTCATGCCAACTTTGACATAATAGCAGCATTGATAAAAAATTAAATATATTTTGCGACCCTGTTGTTCATCACACGGTATGTATTTATTAAAAGCTGTGAGAGAGTTAGAAACAGGGGATAACAGCCGAATGTTCAACGCACGTCCATAAACTTTTTTGTTTCATTTGTCATTTCTAGTCTAAAAAATGTTGGTTATCTTTCGATTGGATTAATTATTTTGGTATATCGAATATTAATAACGAACTGGGATGGATGATAAACTCATTCTTTCAACAAACCAAGCCGCGCCGAACTTGTTACTTATTATTAGTCTAAAAAATGTTGGTTATCTTTCGATTGGATTCATATATTGAATATTAATAACGAACTGGGATAAGCATGGGTGATAAACTCATTCGTTCAACAAACCGAGCCGCGCTGAAATTATTAACCGTAACCTCCCGTTCGAAAAATCCTCGCAACGCCACAATCTTCTCACCGCTGTACCATAACGGCTTTTAAAGTATATCTATAAAATACTTTAACCCCTAAGACCCTGACAGTATCACTGCTGAATCAAATATTTAGGTCATGAAAATTACGGAAATGATTGCAAAGCAACTGAAAGAAGTTCTAGATTCTCAGTTAAACAAATTCTCCATGTCGGTACCGCAGAGAAAATGTATAGAGTAGTATCGAGACTATGCATGATCATGATACATACATAATATTCGGGTTAGAGTACGAGCAGTGCTCCATTTCGGCGAATTTGGCGCGGGTCGAAAAAAAAAAAAAAAACACAAGACTTTTCTTGCGCCTTACTCCCAGAGTTCCGCGCGGCGCGCCACCATCAGTATTTTTTCACTGATTATTTTACGCTCGCAACGGACTTCGCCAAAAGGGAGGGACTGCTCGCATTCTATGTTCGGTTGTAAAGGGTAGAAATAATCATGTTGTATCCTGCAGGCTTGTGGGGTCTGGTCAATAACGCTGGCATCGCTAAAGTTGGACCGATCGAGTGGCAGACTATTGAGGAGTTCAAACAAATCGCAGATGTGAATCTTTGGGGATTGATTGACGTTACCAAGGTGTTCTTACCACTGATCAAAAAGGAGCGAGGACGCATCATAAATCTCGCTAGTATTGGAGGTGAGAGGACTGGAAAAATTTCAAAGAATATTGGAGGTGCAAAAGGATTTATAGTGGCAATAAACTGCATGAATCTGTTACTCAGTGGCTTTCCTTTTGAATGGTCAAACGTTATACCGTAGGATCATCGATCTGCATGTACCTGGGGCCCGTTTCTCGAAAGCTCCGGTGACTTAACGGGCCCGAAGCCATGTTTTGAAATCAAAATTTAAAGGATAGAAAAGCAGGTTCTGGCACCCAAATCAGTCCGTTTTGTTTCTTCACCTGATAGTTTTATTTCATCATTTTCAAACTGATTTTGGAAATCCCCTTCTTGAAAATAGATAGAACAGCTTTACGGACCCGTTAAGATACAGGGACTTTCGAGAAACGGGTCTCTGGATCTAGTGGTCAACTTAAAAAATTCTTTTCAACTCTGTTGATATTCAGAAAAGTAGAACCAATTCGGTATTAAGTTACTCAGCTGATTATTCGCCTTCATGAAAGTAAATTTACCGTCTTGTGTAACCCGCAGAGTGCACATGCTTGAGTTAACTTCTTCTTTGAATCCTACTTTTCGTTTCTGCTTTCTGCAGGTAGAACGTGCTTACCTCACGCATCAGCATACTCCATTTCCAAGTTTGGCGTAGAAGCATTTTCGGACGCTCTCCGTCGTGAACTGGGTCCGACTGGCGTCAAGGTTAGCATTGTGGAACCAGGCTTTTTTCAGACCAAAATCACCAATCCCGACAACCTCAAGGGTCAGTGGCAGGAGCTCTGGGCCAACCTGAACCACAGTCTAAAAGAGGAGTATGGGGAAAAGTTCTACGAAACTAGTAAGTGGGCTCCCATGAGTGACCAAGACAGAATTTCTCCTTATAATATCAATACAGGATCAAGTAAAAAATTGACGAGAATAAAGAAAAATATCAATAAGGGGAATATTAGCTGATTCAATGCCAAATTCTCCGAACAAACACCATAAGAATTGTATGGCAGACAGTAAGGAGAATTACTAATCAGATCTTGGGAGTGAAAGGGTCAGTACTGCTAACAACTAAGACACGAGTGAACATCGCAGGTCAAAAAGTTCGAAAAGAGCATAACGAGGAATGTTGGAGATTCCTGCTGCAAGAGTTATTACTCAACCTAAATATTTTTTTTCAAAGCGCATTTGATTATTCAAATTACGTGTGACAGCAGAACAAAAGTCATCTTTGAAGTTCTGAAATGCACCCTACTTTCCTGCATCAGTTCTAATGTTTCACTGGCTAGCAGTATAAAGCCACGATTTTAAGGTTTCCTTTGACAGCTATATGATGGAACATTGTGACAAGTTTTTCTTTGTCTCGTCCCCTGCCAGGAGATTATTATCTCTTGACCCTGCCCATGCTTTCCCGTGCCAGGTTTCGAAGAGGTACAGAGTTGTAAAAAAAAAAAAAAAGGCATTCGCCGCCATACATTGCAACAGCCATTTTCAGTGTCTGGTCTCAGAACGTAACACTTTCAGTCTACCATAGTCTTCTACCTAGCTGTTGTTTGGTCTTCTAAGCCTTCTCCCACACCAACTAAGTTTAGGCCGTGTTGCTTATCACGTGACTTGACAAGTTCTCCTGTCGAGGAAATTGTTCAAGGTTTTAACGAAAACTAATCTCTCGTCATTATTCTTTGAAAAGTGTCGTAGGCATTTTTTCATCGCTGATATCAAATGAACATGTTTATGTCAACAAGTGCGACTTTGCTGTTGTGAACGAATTGTATTTTTATTGCTTTAAAGCCTTTAACATTGTACTATAATCTTGTTGTTTTATTCCAATTCCAGGCGTTAAGAACATGTTAACAGGAATGGTAGACACATGCGCCTCACCCTACCTGTACAAAGTTGTTGACGCCATTGTGCACTCATTGACGTCACGATATCCGAAGACCAGGTATATGGTCGGTTGGGATGCTAAGCTCCTCTGGATTTGGATCTCTAGGCTTCCAGCAGGTGTTGGAGACGCCATATTAAATCTTTTGGGTGACAAAGCTGAACCTATCGTTTGCACAGGCGCATTAACGCGGTCGTGCGAAAACTTAGTGAAATTAAACGGGAACAATAATTCAGAAAAAGCTTTTGCCCTCGGAAAGTGAGATAATCTGGGAATTGTTTTCTTCAAGTTTGATCATCTGATTATAGCTATTCTGCATTAGATAAATTTTTACCTTTTTTAACCTCGCCCCATCTATTTAGAGCGTGATACATCCACGACGAATGGCAACACACCATCGGTTTTTACATATTTTACCTGTTTAGCTAATAGAAAAAAGAGGGAAGAAATGGCTATTGTATTTTTAACTTATTACTTTGGGGAAGTCAAAAATTTTAAAAGAGTAAAAACATTATTGAATGAATAATCACATTGTCCTATTTATATCTCGATTTTAACAACGTGTGTTGTTTGCGACTTTGTAACAGCCGAATTTTGACTACAAAAAGACATACGTTCCCGAAAGTGATCACGTTGGTTGACGCATTTGTAATCACGTCTCGTACCATAGCGTGTTTTTTTTTTTTTCTACCAGTAAAAATCACCAGACACTGTAAGTTTATCCACTAACCCAGACGGCAGCCAATGACTGGGTTTATATTAGAGGAATTTCTGTGAAAAAGAAAATTATGACAAGTTTTTCTCTGACAAGCACCCTGGTCCCAAAACTGACATGCTAGTTGTCGAATATAAGGGGGGAGGGGCAACTTGTTAAGGGTGAAACTTGTTCAGTTGTAAAACCTGACAATGACAGTTGTCAAGGAGATCATGATTTCTAAAAGAAATGCTATTCCAACAAGTTTTGTTTGATAAGTGTCGTTGAAAAGGTTTCAGTTAGATTTAAGAAGGAACATTTGTGTTTAGCAAGAGAAAATTCAAAGTTTATATGCGGTTCAACTCATCCTCTATAGATCTCTATCTCATTTCTAGATATCTATCTCAATTCTCTTCATCACTTTCAATATCTCCAGGTTTAGTGTTTTATTGTACTTATTACAACATCATGTTATTGAAAAGGGAAATCGCATAGTTAATAACAGTTTGTATCTTAATGTCTATCGTTTTTGCATTGTATTACTACCTTTGGTTGAAGTACATATAATCTTTTATTGCAAGAGTGTAAACTTCCTTGGAAGAATTGTTTGTAATCCAGAATTGGATATATTTTTAACATTTGTATTTCTATACCTTTTACGCATTGTATTTTTATATGAAGAGCACAGTTTAGAAGTAAAATTATTAAAATTAAAAAAAGTATGTCTTGAGTTTACTTTAGATTATTTAGTTGAAGCCTCGGACAAAGTCCCCAGTAACACCGCTTTACATTAACTCAGGTGTTTCTCTGAGGATTGTAAGAAAAAAAACTTAAGCACGACACGGAAATCCACTCTCTTCGGTGTAAATATCCAGGGGTTTCAATCACTTTTCCAAAACGCGGCGGCTGTACCCGGAAAAAGGGCCACACGGCAAAACACAAACACGTGAGGGCCGCTCACAATGCACAAGCAGACGGCAGTGCGAGGTCGTGCAGGCGGCGGTCTGGTAACCAGCTTCTATTAATACCCCTGCAAACACAAGCCTGACAAGTATGACTCCAACTAAGCAAAACATCAAAGCGAGACATTGGAGGTTTGTGTTTTTCATGATATTCACTGAGTTACCTAAAAAGTGCGTGAAGGGGTATGAGGGATTTTGTGGATCGTATGGTTTTCAAGGGGGACCGAGAGGGGATCCGTTGTTATGAGAAGAGTACAAGGAGGAGACCAAGGAAAAATGACTGCTATTAAACCACCAATGCAAGGGGCAAGAAAGGGGAAATTTTACCCAACGGGGATCAGGTAAATTCAATCGTGACAAGCAAAATCCTTCTCCTTCTTTCCAACTCCCTTAGCAATAAATAAATAATGACCAGTCCGATTGTATCACGTGTGCATCTGGTTGACTTAAAGGGTACTCTGAGAGCATGAATGTCTTGAAAGAGCTTAGTTTGCAAATAACAAAAGCATAATTTTTTAAGCGTCATGGGCTGACTATTCCCTAGATAACAGGTATAGGTAATAAATAGGTGCAAAGTTGTTTCAAACGTTTTAATTAACTCTAACCAATTTCATTCCCTCGTAGAAAAATACAAACATTACAGAAAAACAGCATTTTTAATGCCAGGTATAAAAATTTAATATTTACTAGATGATACAATCTTACTTAACCTCACGCAAACGGCAAACCGCTACAAAAACAAGTTTTTTCTCTCTGCCTTTTAGACATTGGTGTAAAAATGTAAAGACGTGTGCTTTTTATTGGCAAAAATTAGAAATTTTCCCCACTTCTCTATTAGAATTATTTGAGGGTTGGATGAAAAAAACTGTCACTCAAAGGAAGAATGATGAACTTGCTGTTCGCCTTTTCTTTCAACGTGTTTATGCAACTGTTATTATGCTAAAACTAACATAACACGGAAACAAGCCGTTTGAAAAACAGCATCACTGGAGAGCAATGTGAAGTTCATGTCAATATTTTCCCCTCTCTATTCCTTTCACCAACTACATATTCTGACCAAGTTTGTTACCTCCCGCAAAATTACTCGCAATTAAGTCAATAAATGAGTGTAGAGAAGTGCTTTTCAAGACAGCAACTACTGTTATTATCCACAAACATTCTTCACAGTAGAACAAGTTGAGAAGGTCGTATTCACAACTGCCACACGATAAAGCTTGCCCGTGTTTATACATGCACAGAGCTTGTGTTTCCCTAATACACTGCCTGGGGCTCCAGTTGGCATCACCATGTCCAGTGCACTTCCTGCTACGTGGACCCCACTGCCTGCATCCAACATAATCTTAAACAAGCTATTTCCTTGCACACCCTTTAAAGTGAGAAAATAACAAGAAATCGGTTACATGTTTGTCTTACCAGCCTAACAACAAACATTTTTCAGAAGACAATTATCTTGCTGTCTTGACCAAAAATACAATGGCCCTTAGGTTAGGATATCATCATTACCGAGGTAGAGGAAATTTCTACATCTTCGTCAGCGTTAATGTGAATCATTTTTCCGTCCAAACCCAGACCTTCATGTCCCTCCACCAAAATTTCCTGTTCAGAGGTCAACATCAAATTCTGGTCCTCATTGCTGACAACCTGACAGAAAAGCATAGGTCAGAAGTGTACTTAAAAAAGAAAATTGTCAAAAGCATAAGAAATAGAGGATATTACATGGCCGCGTGAGGATACGAATTTTATCTCGAGAGAGATACTTTCAGCACGAGAAGATAAAATTCGTACCCCCAAGCAGCCATGTAATGTTCTGTTTATTATACAGATACTGATGAAATTTCCACGTAAAAGACAACTTTTTTTATTCATTTTCAAAACAGCAATTGGGTAATTATGTTGGTGACCATGGCCACATCAATATCCTCACACGTGAAAGATAAAAATAGTATCTTCACTGCGCGCGGTGAAGATATGATTTTTTAGTAAAAGGAGAAATCCTGGTATTTCATCAGTATCTATATATTAATAAAAAAGTATCTGCATTCCTAGTTGTACTTGAACCCCATTCGCCTCCAATTTGGTGACATAATCCTCTCTTAACTGAGCTACAGGTAACTTGTCGAGGAGCCACACTGTAGGCTAGATACTGTATTAGGTTTGAATGAGAAAAACCCAACTCCTACTGCTAGGATCTACAAGTGTCTGGAATGAAAAGTAGGCCACATGGTAACTTTTGAGGTTGGTGATCAAATAAATAGAATTTTGAAACATAAGTCTTTAAGTTAATAAAAACAAATAACAACAAAAATAAATGACATATATCAAAGGTTCCCCATAACAGACACTAAAATCTCCTGTCAAGTGTACACTGTTCACTAAAATTGTGAGAGTTGTCACTTATTGCCAAAACATAAATTAAGAATTCTAAGTGGTTGCTGCATTTGTGTTGCAATACATATTTCATTTCTCTCTTTTTCAGGGA